TGTGGCTGAAGAGCAGACTGAGCCCACCGCGTCCTCCATGGTCATCAGCAGGGGCTTTGGTTCCCCCACCTCCTGCCTGGAAGTCCACAGGTCTCCCTGTCTCCCTAGAGGGGACAACCAGAGCTGTGTCTTTGGCTCTGGAGATGTTCCCACCAACTATTTTTTTGGACAAGAAAGCACTCAAAGGTGCCCGCATCCTCTTTGGAAAACCAGTCACCCTGGAATCTCTGGCAGGACTTTGCCTCCCCCGCCCCGGACCCTTGCAGAGCCTCCGCGGGAGCCTTTCCCAAATCCATCCTCTGCTCAGGGCGGTGCTGCCAGCTCCCAAAGCCACGCTTAACTTGACACATGTGTGCGGCCCTGGGAGATGTGGCAGCTCTGATTCTCATTTGTGCCACCTTCCCCAATGCCAACCTGAGGGGGGTCTCCTCTCCAACACACCCACCTCTCTGCCAGACAGGCCGGGGACTCCTGTCCCCTTCTTCCCATGGCTTGGGGTCCCAGTGAGGTGGCTGGTGCCAGTCCCAGTCCTGGCAGGTGTCCCCAAAGCTGCGGGGAGCATCAGGAAGGGCTGAGCCTGTCAAGGACGGTGGGATGGTTTGTGCCTCCTGCATCCCTTGTGGTCACCTCTAGCAGCTCACATTCAGGACCCTCAGCTTCCATTGAGGACCCCCAGCTTCCATTCAGGACCCTCAGCTGCCATTGAGGACCCTCAGCTTCCATTCAGGACCCTCAGCTCCCATTCAGGACCCTCAGCTTCCATTCAGGATGCTCAGCTGCCAATCAGGACTCCAGCTGCCGTTTGGGACACCCAGGTTTGGCTGTGGCTGTGCCACTGGATACCATGCCCAGCACAAGGATAAGAGTGATGGGGAGCCAGTGGCACCTCACCTCTGCAGCTCCCTCTGCAGCGAGGTTAAGCTCTGCTTAAGCTCTGCTTAATTGTGATCCTGGTAGAGCCCTAATATGGGGGATGCCCAAAGGGAGGCTTTTCGGAGAGGAAGAGCTCCATGCAGCCTTACCTGGGCTATTGGACAAGCACACAGCCACTCTCCAGGCTCTGAGATGGAGGCACCGACATTCTGGAGTCTTGGGGTTTGGTACAGCTTCTCTCAGGATTTTGGGACCAAGGTGCAGGGTGCTGCACGCCACCATGGGATGCACCCCTTGGGCTGCACCCTCGCAGCCCCAGCACAGCAGGTTTCGGGGTGTGGACAGAGCCAGTGTCAGTGAACACGGCCGTGGGTCCAGCTGTGCCTGATCCTCGCTGACGAAACCCCCAGTTTGTGACACAGTTTTTGGCGCTGGGTCCTGGCCATCCGCTTTCTGTCCCAGCACTCGCCTTGCAGGAAGGCTTTGGGGATGGTGGGGGCGGGGGGGACGGGGAGGGGGAGCCCATTTCAATTGTTTGGGGAATGGAAGTGACTCGTTCTGCGGCTGGAGGAGCCCAGCGGAGCTCACTGCGTGCAGGGAGTTTTTCCACTGCTGTCGCTCCCATTGGAACAGCGGAACCTCGGGAGCTTCCAAACTGGTGGCATTCTGGCGGCAGGGCCGGTTCTGGTGGCTGGCCCTTGGGATGCAGCCTTGCCTGAGGCACAGGTTGTGCATCACTTAACCGGGGCCGTTTCAGGGGGGGAATGTGCATTTTGTGGGGTCTGGCTTATTTTTGGGCACAGTGGAGTGGGGAGTGGTCTGGAGGGGACAGAGGGTCTCTCATCTAGTACAGGCTGGGATTGTGCTGCCAGAAAACCAAGGCATTTAGGGGCAGTAGGTTCCCACCTTTGTGTCTCCAGGCAGGGGTGAATCTCCCACCTACTCCCATTTGAGCCCGGAAAAATGAATCACCGAAAATGAAACGAAGCAAAGAAAGCAAGCAAAAAAATAATGATTAAAAAATCCCTCCCCAAAGCCGCCTTCCAGAGGGTTGGGCAAAAGATAAAAGCTCTCGGAAGAACCGGGACTCCTCCTCTCCCACCGCCGACCTCTCATTTAAATGTCTGTGCGGAGGCTGCAGCCGGCACTGCCTCGGCGGCCGCCCCAAGGGACCCCCGCCAACCCCCCCCGCCCACCAGCCCAGCCGTGCCCCCGGGGGTGATGCCCACGCAAGGCAGCGGCAGAACCGAGGCTTAGAAGCCCGTGGTGACACATCCCCAGGGAGGACGGATCGGTACTGGGGTGCTCCGGGGGGTCCCACCACAGAGCATGCGAGAGCCCCGGGGGAGCTGAGCCGAGCAGCGTCTGCCGGGGCAGGGAGGAGTGGACAGCAGGGGCGTCCCGGTGGATGGACTCCCTGAGAGCAGCCCCCCCGATGTCGGCTCCACTGCTGCTCTGGGTCATCCTCCTCCGCTGGGCCAGCGGTGGGGGCTTCATCCGAGGAGGCAGGACGTGGCAGCACTGCACAGGTAGGAGCAAAGGGCACGGGGTGGGTGGGCTGCACCGGGAAGGGGGTGTCAAGACAGGTGTTAGCCCTGCTGGGAAACGTGCTCCCATGGATGGGATGTGCCCTGCACTGCCAGGGCAGACCCCAGAAGATGTGCTCTGTGTTTGGGGGGCATGCCTCAGGTGGGTCAGCCTCTCGCTGGCAGCCCAGCCCCAGGATTTGAGCACCCTGTTATGCCTCAGGTGCTGCAGCTTCCAGGACTCTGCCAGCATCCATGGACAGTGGGCAGTGGGGTCATTCCTGCACCTGCAGCCCCCACCAGCAACCCTCTCAGAGCTGTGGAGAGAACTGTGTGCCTGTCCCTATGGCACAAGCACTGTCCCAAGGTCTGCTGGCCCTGAGGACATGAGAGGGGAAGGGCTGGAAGGAGAAGGAGAAGAGAGCCATGAAGTCCCCTTGGAAAGTCCCTCCTGCCCCAGACTCTCCTGCGCTCTTACAGGCACAACCTACGCCCTCTGGGAGTAAATGTCTCTGTCTCACTGCCCCCAGCCGAGGAGCTGGCAGCTCCAATGGTATTTCCAAGATGAGCTTGGGCTGAAGGGGATCTCCATGCCCTATCTTGGCCATCCCATTCCCATCACTGTGCTGTGTGGGCAGTGAAACCTGAGCTCAGTTTTTGGGGCTGCTTGGGCCCAGGATCTGTGTGCTTGGGGTTTGTCCCAGTTTGTTGGTGCCTGTATTTGCATTTTATTACAGCACAGACGATGTGAGAACGACAACTGGGAGAGATTGGAGAGTTTCTGCCCACTGCCTCTTTCCTGAGGTGCTCGAGTCTCTCTGGGAACGTCCCTGCCAGGGATGTCAAGGCTGGGGACCCCAGCATGAGGTGCCCTGACACCACATGTGCTGCCCAAGCTGGGCTGGAGCACCCCAGCTGCTCTCCCAGCCTTGGCAGTGGCAGATGTGGGAGGCAGTTGGATTTAGAGATTTGGGTTTGGTTTTAGGACTTGGTCTCTTCCTGGCCCACAGCCTCCAGACCCACCTGAGCTGCCTCCCAGCTCATCCCCACCACCCCAGGGGCAGTTGAGGGCTCCTAAACCCCTCTGCAAATCCAAGCCTGAGTTCAGCTTGTACTTTTTGCTGGGAAAAACGGAAACTGGCCATTCCCCAAGTGGTGCATTTCTGAAAAAAGCTGCTTGAGTCAAACCTCCCCAGTGAGGCTTTGTTTTAGGAACAGCTTAAACTAGTGGTGGGGCAAGCAGGGGGCACACAGAGTTGCCAGGGTGGGAAAGACCTCACCGATCTCTCTGCTTGGGGCTGAATGGAGCAATGTGAGCAGATTCCTCTTTGCTCTGCCCACCTGGAACTGGGCTGGCCAGGGGTGCCAGGAGGAAGCGCTTCCCTTCTCCAGCTGTTTTGGATTCAGATACATGGCCCAGCCTTGCTCCCAGCTCCCTCCCTCGCAGCTCTCCCGCTGTGCCCCAGCAGCCGGGATTTATTAGTACAAATTGGAGCTAAAAGCTGGGTCTCAGCGGGGTTGGGATGGAATCAGGGATATTTTAGTGTAGCCAAGTGCTGCTTCATCCCCTGGGCATCACTGCCTTTCTGTGCAGATGCTGCAGGTCTGCCAGGAAAGCATTCAAAAATAAAAATAGGAGAGTTGCCAAGGCGAGGAAGGTTGGAGAAGCCCCCACAGCAGGTACAGCCCTTCCTGCGGCTGCCGGCACGGGGCTTGCTGAGACATCAGACCGACGGTCACTCTGACACTGCTCCGTGGGGTGGCGCTTCATGGTGCCCATGCACGGTGTGTTCTCACCAGGGTGATGCCCTGGCGCTGGGCACGTTGTTTTCTTTTCTGGGGAGAGGTTAATTATTTATAATGAGCGGTTTTGGTGCCTGCTGGGGGAGTACGTGTGCGTGTGTGCAATTAGGACTGGGCTGGGACAGCCTGAACCGGGACTGAGGGGTAGAGCTGTCCTCATGACCCTGGGGACAGGGATAGGGAGGGGGGCTGCCCCATAAGCGAGCCCACAGTGCTGGATCCCTGCCTACTCTCCTGGCTCTGGAGTTGCTGGTGCTGGTGTATCCCGAGGAAGCTGGGGCTGCCTGGCTGGCAAGTCCCAGCTCCGGGGACAGCATTCAGAGCTGCATTAGTGGGATGACTCCGCAGAGTAAATGTTCCCTCTAGCCCAAAGCAGGGGCTCGGGGTGGATCCCAGGCAAGGGCCAGCAGGCTACTGGGGCACACAGCCATCCTGTTGCCAAGGAGCACCCCGGCCAGCGCTGCGGGAACCCCATCCCACAGTGGGACAGGGTGGGACGGCTTCCACCGTTGTGACATGCTCCGCCGTCCCTTGGCACAGACCTGCGCCCGCTGGACATGCTGTCGGAGGCGGTGCCGGCCGGCGCGCTGGCCCGCGGCGTGCGGGTGTTCCAAGTGCAGGGCGTGCGCGGCTTCCAGCTCACCGCCTCGCGGCCCCGCGCCCTGGGCTTCCCCGCCTCCCGGCTCTTCATCCACTGCGACCGCTTCCCCGAGGAGTTCTCCCTCATCGTCACGCTGAGGGTGCTCGGCGTCCCCGCCAAGGTGAGCGCGGCCGGCCGGGCACGGCGCGGGCACAGCCCAGCCCCGCAGCCCGCGGCAGGCAGGCGTGAGACCGTGCCCTCCCGCAGAGGAACGAGTACATCTTCACGCTGATGGCGGAGGAGAGCCCCGGCGTACTGGTGGGGCTGCGCTACGCCCCCGGCAAGCTCCACTTCCTCTTCTGGAGCCAGGAGCGCGCCGGCGGATGGCAGACCCGCGTCACCTTCCCCAACGTCTCCCTCTCCGACGGCCAGTGGCACACGCTCGTCCTGGCTGTCTCCGGCCAGTCCTTCTCGCTGACGGTGGACTGCAGCATCCCCAAGGATGTGTAGGTTGGGGGCAGTGGCGGAGGGGTCAGGAGGGTGGGCAGGGTGATGTTCCTCCTCCACCAGCTGATTCTCCTCCGGCCATCAGTAGATGCCATGAAATTGTCCCTACCTTTTCTCTGCCTATCCCCAGGGTGTTGGAGACGCCGTTTCCTGCCTCGCTGTCGGTGAGGAGAGCCAGCTTCTACCTTGGCAACAGGCGGAGAAGGAAAGGCGTGTTCACGGTAGGTGCCCCTTGGCGTGGGGTGCCCACGGGTGCCCGGGGGGGCTCGTGGCTGGCCGTGGGGTGACCCACAGCCCCCTCTCAGCCCCTTACAGTGGCAGGGCAGGAGGGAGGGCAATGAGCAGAAGTTGGGCAGGAAATCCAAGGCATGAATCCCCTGCGGTTCTCACTCTGTGATCTTTCCGGACTTTCCCTCCATCCCACTGCTCCTGCTTTCCCAGGGTTTGCTGAGACAGCTTGTCCTGCTGCCAGGAGCCGATGCCACCCCTCGGATATGCACCACCATGAACTTCAAAGTAGCAATGCTCTCTGTCCCTGCTATCCTCCAGGATGTCCCTGTGAAGCCAGCGAGCAACGAGGTGCTCAAATACCCCTACGGTCAGTGCCCTCCAGTGCCTCTGTCAGCCAGCCCTGCCTCTGTGAGGAAAGGCCTCTGTGCGTGGCAGAGCATGGAGCAGGAGCAGCACCCTCTGTTTCTCAATGTGTGTGGGGTGGGATCCATGTCCACAACTCCCCTGGAGAGATGGGGTGCTCCTGCCTGGGTCCCTTAGCAGTGCTGGGCTCATGTCAATGGCCCCACACATGGCCTGTGTCTTCCCACGTTGGTGCTGGAATGCCATTTCCCCCATTCCCTGGTGCCCATCATCAGGATGAGACCAGGACATCCAACCCTGCTTCCTCTCTGCTCCTCCACTGTGTGTGCTAAGAGGCTCCTGCCTCACTCCTCTCGTGGCCAGAGACTGACACGAAGGTGACCCTGGGGTCCCGTCCACGCTGCACCAAGCAGGAGAAGGCGCAGTTCTGGTTCAATGCCTCCCGACGAGGGCTTTACCTCTGCAACGGCAGCACCTGGGTCTCCATGCTGGAAGGTACTGCTGGGGAGGTACTGGCATTCTTTGGGAGGGAGGCAGGGAGGCTTTTGCAGCAGAGCAGCCCTGCTCCAACCAAAATCATCTGGTTTTAACCTCACCCCTCTTTTTTGTGGTCTCCCAGTCAAGCACAGGCTGGACTATGTGGAGGAATACCAGAGCCTGGTGACCAACTCTGAGACGATGGGGATTGAGGTCTTCACCATCCCAAAGGTGGGACTGTTCGCAGCCATGGCCAACCGGATCACCCCGCCGGGATCGGCCATCTACAAGTGGACCGATGGGAAGTTTGTGCCCTACCAGAACATCCCCACCTACCAAGCTCAGTCCTGGAAGTATTTCACCATTGGGAAGAAGGTGAGTCTGCCTGGAAGGTGCCTCCATGTTTCAGTACATTAAAGTTTCCCAACACTGGCTTCTCTGGAACCCAGGGTCTTGGGCATGGTTTAGGGAGTGAATCTTTCTCTCTTTGATGGAGTCACGCTGACACCAAGCTGATATTCAGCTGACCAAGGTCTCTCCAGGGACTGCTGGCTCGTCTGTGGGCTGCCTGCTCTGTTTTACTGTTTTGCTGAGGCACAGCTACATTCACCCAGGCCATTTCCAGCACCTGATGTTGGCAGAGTAGGTGACTGCATCTCAGAGATCTACTTGTGGTCTTAGAGAGCCATCAGAGCCTGCAGCTCCCTCCTGAGACCCACTGAGTCCAACCTGCTGCATTTTTAAGCTCTCGTGTTTTTAAATAATTCTGGGACTTTGGAGCCACCTCTCCTCCCTTGGGCAATCTGTCATGGCACTTGTGAAGAGTATCTGGCTGGTTCCTTTCCCTGGGAAGCTTATCACTTTTGGAGGAGCCCCAGGCAAGTCACCTGCTGAGAGCCAGCTCTGTGCAGGGCTCCTGGGGAGCTGGGATCATTCCCCCTCTGGCATGACCCATTCTGGCTTTGTCACCAGTGTGGCTGCAAGGCTCCTCCACTGCCAACCACACGCTCCAGGATACAGAGGGATGGACAAAATTCTTGCCTCCCTGTTGGTTGGATACAAACAGGCCATGTCCTCTGTTGGTGGTGAGGGAACATGATGGTGGAGGCCATCCCTGATGGGCAACTTGATGGTTGGGACCGTCCCTGCTGGCGGGGTCCTGCAGAAAACCCAGTCAGCCCTGGAAGTGCAGCTGTGTTACGGTGCTGGCTTTGGGCTGGGAACATGCCTGACTTCCCCAACACTGCTCTTCATTGCTCCACTGCACCCTCAGAGGCAGCAGATGAGGTGGTTCCCACCAGCAGATAAACCCAATGCTCAGCACACTTGTGCATGGAGACGATGGCCAGAGAGGTGTTGCACCAGCAGCAGTACAGGTCTCTGCAGTAGCCCAGGTTCCCTGCACAAGTTGCAGTTGGGATGCACCTCTGTGGGTGTCATACCTTGTTACTGCACCAGGACCTGCTGGTGCTCCACCAGGATGGAGTGAAGGGCCCCACGGGCAGTGTGGGCGCTCTGGTGGCTCCTGTCAGTGGAGGCTCAGGGATCACGGGCTCCTGAGTTGTGGGGCTGGATCCAGGTGTCTCTCTTCCCACTGAAGCTGTTTCTAGAGGTGCCCCAAAGGGAGTCCCTTGACTGGGACTCTCAGAGAGAGCAGTGCTGGGGATGCACCTTCCCTGAGGGAACAGGAGGACCCAGCACAGCCCTGTCGCTGGGGGTGGCAGGGTCCTGCATGGGCCAGGAGGCAGGAGACTTCCTCACTGACGGTTTCCTCCCTGTGGGCTGTGGCCCTGTGCCTCCTTGTGGCCCAAACTGGGGCATAACCTCTGCCTCTCCATCTGAAAGACACTGGAATGGTGGAGCCAGCATGACAGAGCTTGGATGTGCTCCCTGCCTTGCACTTGGCCACCTCTGCTGCACCACGGCTGTCCCTGACATTTGCACAGGGGTTTCCTGATCTGGAAAATGTTTTGTGTCAGGGAATTGTTATCATTATTGTCATTGTTATCATATCTCTGATTTTTCTTGAGCCACCTTTCCTTACGAAGAGGTTTAGTAGCCCAAACCCCCCTCCTTCCCCAGTCCATTTCACATCCATGCTCCCCATTCCCAGGGCTGGTGAGGCACAAGCAGACACTGCTCAGCTCTCCCTCCCCTTGTCTAAGAGGCTGTTACTGAAAGCTGTGTCCCTGCCACACACAAACACCCCCACAGGCCACTGGGTCCCTGTCGCTACTTTGAGTGCACTGTGTTGCTTGGGAACTGCTTAGGGACCCCAGCCAAGGGGCCACATTGTCCTACAACAGCCACCTCATCCCTGGTGCCCCATCCCACCTCCCCGTGCCCATTCTTGTCCGTTCTCCTTTGAGAGGAGAAAATCAAGCTATCCTGGCTTGTTCCTTTTCAGATCTTCCTAGCAGTGGCGAATTTTGAGCAGAATGAGAGGGGTCAGGAGTTCTCTGTAATATACAAGTGGAGCCGCAGGAAAGCGAAATTCATCACGTACCAGCGGATCACCACGCACAGCGCCAGGGACTGGGAGGCCTTTGTCATTGAGGGAGAGGCTTTCCTCGCTGTGGTCAACCACAGAGAAGGTACCCAGCCCTCATATTCCCTACAGGCCCTGGGGTGACATCTGGGACCATGGCAAGTGCCCTGCTACAGGTACCTGCTGAGAGCATCCTCCGGTTGCTGTGGAAACCCCGCGGCTCCCTGTGCATCCTCTGCTGGAGCAGAGTGCAGGGCAAAGCCAGGGAGATGTGCATGCAGCTGGGAGCGTGGTGTCCCTCAGGAAGCCTGAAGCCTGGCAGACCCTCCCGTTATAGGGGAGAAAATCATTTGGGGAAGTGGCTGATGCAGACCCCCTCTGGGTTTCTGGCAGCAGAAGACAAGGACAAGAGTGGGGACGGTGTCTGTGCTGAATCTCTCTGCTGCTTTTCATTTTTATCGCCTATGCTGCATAACCTGGTAGCACCCCAGGCTGAGCCTTTTGCACACAGGAAACTGAGGGAAGCTGAGTGAGAACCTGCTGACATCCCTTTCTCCCTCCCTGCCTGGGCACCCTGCAGACATGATCCAGCCTTGTTCCCCCTCCTGGACCCTGAGTTGTTCTGGGCTGGGACATGCACTCCTCAGCATGGAGGGATGAATGGGTTGATAGCACGGCCCTAGCTCTCCAGGATGCTCCCAGACAGGTTCAAAACACTGGGCTAATGGGCTCTTTCCCTGCCACCAGGGCTGGCTCCAGGGAAATCAGCTCCTCTGGCACCAGGCTTGGAGATGGTGGCAGGTTCCCTGGGCACCTGTGAGCTGGGCTGGAAACTCCATGTTGGACCCCACAATGGCCAGTTTGCATGAGACCTGCTCCCACGGCAGTGTGGTCCCTTCGGCAGCCGTGCGTGCAGGGGTTAAGACCATCACGGCTAAGCCAACCTGGGGAGGTTTCCCTTGGAGGGAGGTGGATGGCCAATCCCTGAGGGGCTGCCACTTATCCATGTGGCCGTTCCCACACATTGTCCCTGCAGCCTTTCCTGCCCAAGTCCCTTCTGCTGCAATGAGAATTTAAAGCCAGCTGGGTCTCACACAGGTGTAAGGTTGAGATGCTCGAGCAGAGCCCAGGAGCTGAATGGAGCATGAGCTTTGGTGCTGGGGGGTAGCCCGTGATGTCGGAAGCTGAGGGACGTGGCTGGGAGTGGCCCCACTGCACAGAGCCACCCCATGGGACAGCTGGCAGAACTTGGCTGCCCTGGGACGCTGGCACGGTGCCTCTGGGCTACTGCTGACATGGGGACATGGCACCCACCTGTCCCTCCTCTGCCAGGGCTGCCACAAAGCTGCCACCATACATGCAGGACAAGTTGCTGGTGTGTGCCATGGGATGGAGGGTCTAGGTAGGGATAGAGGCTCTAGGTATAGCTGGAGGCTCTAGACAGGAATGGAGGCTCTGGTTAGGGATGGAGGTTCTAGGAAGGGGTTGAGGCTCTAGATGGGAATGGGGACACTATGTAGTGGTGAAGGCTGTAGAATCTCTCCAGCTACTTCTTGGGCAGCAACAGGTCACTACCAAACAGCGTCATGACCTGCTGGCAAATATTCGCGTGGCTGAACCTGTTTTTTAGACAAGCCAGGTATCCCTTTCGCTCACGGTGCACATCTGTCCATCTGTCTTCCCCAGGGAACAACCACAATATAGATAGTGTGATATACAGGTGGAACCCCAGGACAGGGTTGTTTGAAACTAACCAGACCATTCCTACCTCTGGAGCCTACGACTGGGAATTTTTCACCATTGGACCGTATTCCTTCTTGGCTGTAGCGAACACATTCAATGGCACATCCACTAAGATCTACTCACACATCTACATCTGGCTCAGTGGTTCTTTCCAGCTCTTCCAGTCTATCCTGGTAAGGCTTGCCTATTGCTCCTCAGTCCCCCTTAGGGTTTAGATGAGCCAGCTTGTCTCATGGTCTCCTTCCCCGCAGACATTTGGTGCTGCTGACTGGGAGGTTTTTCATATTGGGGACAGAGTCTTCCTGGCTGTTGCCAACAGCCACAGCTATGACAGTGGGATGCCAGCGCCCTCCAACTTCTACGCCATCAACTCCTCCATCTATGAGCTGAACATCACCGCCCAGATGTTTGTTAAATTCCAGGACCTTCTCACCTACAGGTACCTTTGCTAGCAGTCAGGGTGCTCCTCAGTACATGTCCTACCCCTGAGAAGCCTGGAGGTGACATAAAGTCATAGAATGGTTTGGGTTGGAAGGGACCTTAAAGATCATCTCATTCCAATCCCCTTGCCATGGGAAGGGACACCCTCCACTAGACCCAGTTGCTCCAAGCTCTGTCCAGCTTGGCCTAGGACACCTGCAGGGATGGGGCAGCCACAGCTTCCCTGGGCACCCTGTGCCAGGGCCCCTTCTCTTTCAGTTTAAAACTGCACTTGTTTGCCTACAGGAGGGTTCCTGCAGGTTTTCACACTGCCAGGGACCGAGACTGGTGGGAGGGCGATTTGTGACAGACCCTTGGCACTAAATCCCAGTGGAAGCTGGTAGAAGGCCTTGGATTTGGGAATGAGGCTGGATTTCTTTCAGGAGCAGCCTGGGAAGAGCAGGGTTTCCTGTGTGTCATCAGGGTGGCAGAGATAGGGGTGGGTTGGGCTCAGCCCCATGGACACACCTCCTCTTCTTCAGGTGGCCACACAGGGGCCACCTCACCTGTCCCTCTGCTTTCTTCATGCCCAGTGCCCTGGACTGGGAGTTCTTCACGGTGGGAGACGACTCTTTTCTGGTGGTAGCAAACTCCTTTGATGGCTTCACCTTCTCTGTTAACAGTGTTATCTACAGGTACTGTGGTGGGCAGGGCTGGGGGGCTTGGGGGTTGTTCTCAGCAGGAGCAACCCTGCCCAGGGAGGATGGATAGGACTGCTCCCTGTTTTCGGGCAGGAATGGGGAGCCCCAGTGAGGGACTGGGAGATACCAGCCCCAGGGCTTGGCTCTCCTGCCCCTCCCAGGTGCCCAGCTCGTGCCCCGGGAGCTAACTGCCCTCCCCGTGCAGGTGGCAAGGCTACGAAGGCTTTGTGGCAGCCCACCACCTCCCCACCGTCGGCTGCAGGGACTGGGAGGCGTTTCACACCGCTGAGGGCTCCTACCTGCTCTACTCCAGCGCCAGGGAGCCGCTTTCCAAGGTGCTCAAGCTGAAAACCACCTGAGGCGGCTGAGACCTGCTCAGCTCATCGCCAGGACGGGGGCGAGCTGGGCATTGGGGTGAAGATGGACCACAGAGCCCAGGGACGGCTGCAGCATCAGCCGGGCAGCGGGCAGCGGCTGGCTGTGCACTCTGCAGGAAAGGGAGGAGGAGGAGGAGGAGGAGGAGGAGGAGGAGGAGGAGGAGGAGGAGGAGGAGGAGGAGGAGGAGGAGGAGGAGGAGAAGGAGGAGGAGGAGAAGGAGGAGGGAGCTCCAGGGCTCCCTACAGCCTTGTCTGGGGGCTAGCAAAGGGGCTGAGACCCTGCTTTGGTGCTGTTTCTCCTGGGAAAGCTCTCCCACTGTGCTCCGGAGCCATGTCCTACACAAGGTTCCTGGAGCCCAGGTTCTCCCCAGGGCTCGCTGGGACCTGACACTTGGCAATCTCCAGCCAGGAGAGACCCAGAGCTGCCAGTGGCAGTGGCCAGAGGTTGCACAAAGCCAGGGAAGGAAGAGACTGAGCAGAGCATGTGCTGGCAGGGTAGGTGCATGGCAGAGGGGAGTAAATGTGTAAGAAACTGCGGAAAAAGGTTGGTCCAGGCTTGGCTTTGGCTGCCCAGCGCCTGGTGCTGCGATGCTACTGAGAACTATCTGGTTTGACATTGCAGCCACTCTTGGTGTCACCTCTGGTGACATCACCACCCCATGACACTGCTGCGAGTGCCTTCCCCCCCTCCCACTCTGCTGTGGTTTGGGTTGTCCTTGACGTGTGATGTGTGTTTGTACAAGCCCATCGGTGTGTACAAGGACATGCACACCTTGGCATGGGGTTAGTGACTCCTGGGAAAACCTGCTGTGCATTTGGACAAGTCCAGGTACCACGGGCATGGGAAAGTTCCAAAACTGCGCCAGGTGAAACTGTGGCCTCTTTTCTTTTCCTCACCTTTGCTTGGGGACTCTTTTGCTTAACCAGAGCTCTAATAAACTGTGTGCACCCTGCCTTCATCCCATGTAAGTACCCAGACTGCTCTGCCCACAGCAGAGGCCTCCCTTCACCCAACAAGTCATGCCCCAATGAGGCTGGGGCTACGTCCCTGTCCTCGAGGATGAGGTGGCCCTGAGTACAGCAGTGTGCTGGGGTGAGGGTACCCCGTTGTTCCCCCCCACCCAGCACCCTCTGCCTCATTTGACTGTCCCAGAGTGTCACTCAGTCTTCCCCAGGCCCAGGTTTCCTGCTGGAGCTGGGCCACCCCCCGTGGAGCTGGGGAGCCCTCAGGATGTGCCAGCCCTGCAAGAAGGACTGAGGAGTCACAGCTTGAGCTGGTCCAGGGAGAGCCTCTGCATCCCTTCCTCCTCCCCCTATTCACTGCAGCTGCACCTGGCTCTGCCAGGAAGGACCATTTCTCGCTTGTGAGACAAGGGAAAATTCAGTTTGCTTCCATCACACCAAGCCACCAACAGCAACCCTAATTCAGCTCTGAGAAAGGGAAAGATAAGGCGAGATGTACCAGATGCATTTGGGCAGCTGGTCCCTGCCTAAGCCAGGGCGGGTTGAGGGTGGATGGAATGGCACCTAGTGGAAGTCATGCTGTTACATTGATTTTAGGCTGGTCTGCTTTGGGAGAGATTAAAATAGGACAAGCTCAAACCCCCCAAGCACCACCCTCTGCTGCAGACACCCAGCTCCCAGCATAGCACAAACCCTGGGGCTTTTCCTGTGTACGGGGCTTTATTGAGGAGCCAGAGGTTTGGGAGATCCACCCCGCCGGTTGCTGGAGGCAGGCAGAGGCTGCTGAGGTACTACACAGGGCCTTGGGGATGATGTCCTGCTTTCTGCAAGGCTTGGAGCCAGGATGGGGTGACCATGCTGCAGTGACCCTTGGCACCCCAGGGACCTCCTGGCCCTACAAACCCCCACCCGCATCTCTTCCCACCGGGGGCTTGACCTGTGCAAACTACGAGCATGTGGCTGGGGCTGCATTCCCTGCGAGCCCAGCTCTGGCAGGGAAAAAGGGTCTGGCCAGGGTTGTTCACCCCCAGGAACATGGTCTCCATGTTCTGCGTGAGGCGTCCCCAGCATCCCTCCCCCATGTCCTTTGCTCACGCTCCGTCCAGGGGAGGGGTGGTCGGTGCCACTTGTCTGCAGGACTGGAGCAAGCACTGGGGAGATGCCACCAAGAAGCTTTGAAGCCCACCAGTTGGCTGCTGGCTCCCTACAAAGAAGCTGTGAGCTGGCACCCCAACCCTGTGCTACAGGGCAGTGCTGGTGGTCTCTGCGTGGCCCTGGGTGCTTGGCAGTGGCTTCAGGTAATCCACGTGCTTGCAGGTGTCCTCCCGGTTGTGCCGGACGTAGCAGATCACGTAGACGATGACCATGGCGAACCAGCCGAACATGGTGATGAACATGGCCACGTCCGTGGTCCTCTGACGCACGCTGCAGAAGTTGACGCCGGCATCCAGGACCTGGAGCAGCGGCTTGCCCACATATTCCTCCCGTGGGGCCGTATGGCAGGTGATGTCCTGGACAGAGTCAGGGTCCAGTCGTGCCTCCCACAGCACCTCCTGCAAGGCGCACTCGCAGTGCCACGGGTTGTTGGCCAGTCGGAGCTTGGCATTGAGTGCCAGCAAGGCCTCCTTGGGAATGCTGCGGATGCGGTTGCTGGACAGGTCGAGGGTCCGCAGCCCTGCTGCCACCCCTTTGAAAGCCGCCCTGTCGATTTTCTCGATGGCGTTCCTGGAGAGATCGAGTTCCTCCAGGTGGGAGAGGTGCCTGAAGGCATTGCTGGGGATCCTGGTGATGCTGTTGGCATCCAGCTTGAGGAACACCGCATCTCTGGGGATGTCCTTGGGGATCTCCTCCAGGTGCCGGGAGCTGCAGAGGACGGCCTTTGCCCCTGCCCGCTCCGTGCACTGGCAGCTGGGGGGGCAGGAGCTGCCCCAGGGGACACAGAGTAGAAGGCAGAAGAAAGCCTGGGCCACGCCGGCAGCCGGTGTAGTGGTGGTGGTGAAGGTCATCTTGCAGCCAGCCAGCTCAGCATGGCTGCTGGCAACTCCCTGGGGGCGGCAGCAGCTCCTGGGTAGCAGGGCGGCCCCTCGGCGCTCCTGCAAAGCCTCTCCCATCGCTGGAGGGAAGCAGTGGGTGGAGGGGATATGACACGGCATTATTTCCTGGAACATTGTGTATGGCTCATGTGCGATGTGCCCTGGCAAAGGGGTGGGAGGCTGGGCTCAGGAGTTTGGAAAACAAGGGTGGAGTGACACTGGCTACCATCTTGTCCAGAACAGCTTAATTTGGCCTACGTTTAATTGTACACAGAGATGCAGAGATTGAAACCGCTGCCCCCTGCCCCCATCTCTGCAGAGACCACCCAGGTGGACAAAGGGTGCTGCAGGAAGGAAGTGTGGAGACAGGTCTGGCCTGGGAGCCTCTGCCCCATCCTACTGCCAGTTTCCTGGGGGGATTTGGTGGTTTGCTGCTGGAGAACAGCAGCACTAAATTCCTATCTCACCAACACTGACTGTTTAAAAAAAAATGATGAGTCAGACTGCACAGATCATCAGACTGACTTAATCACCACCAGGGTTTTAAATAACAAGATGTGGAGCTCTTTTGCTTTCCCTCCCCTTCTGGTCCATGAGCCAGTAAAAGTCACATTTCCAAGGGTTTCGCCAAAGAAGGGTTTGGAGATGAGTTTGCATTTTAAAGTAAACAAAGAATAAGGTTTGATAGCCTGACCCTGGGGGGGTGGTGAAAAAGGAGAGGAGGTGAAAAGAGGAGCCACTATCACAGTAAAGGAGGTGATGTGGAAATCCCAAAGGACACCCTAGTACTACCAGGGACAAGGCAAGAGATGAAGCAGGTGGGACACCTTTCCTCTGCCTTTGGTGCTGCTCACACCTCTCCTGCTGCCTTGGCCAGCCTGGGGGGAAGAAATCTCCATAGAGTGCAGGGTGAGAGACCAAGGGAGCCTTTCACCTGGGAATTAAATGGCCCATAGTGATGTCTTTATGGGCACTGAGTTGTTGTCCCCCTACTGCCTGCATTCTTCTGCTAATGGCATTCTCCTGGGAAGAGCAGCATCCCTCGGGTGTGAGCATCCTCAGGGTACCCGAGGGATGCTGCCCATAGCCTAGCCCGTGGCCCTGCCCAGGGCTGGGGCACTGTGGGCTCTGCCAGAGGAGATGAAGTTCTGCTTCCCGGGAATTCCTCTGGCCCAAAGAAAGGTACCGTGCTCCGCCAGCTCCGTCTCTCTGGGGCAACAAGGGCACGTTATGCGATGCCGGGTCTCACCGCCTGGAAGGGCTTAGAGGGGCTCTGAGGAGTCTCAGCCTCCAGGACCCCGGGGGTGTGCGGGGGCGATGCCCCGACGCGCCCTCCTGCCCCGCCCTGTTCCGGGACCCCGGCAGGCAGCACGACCGCCGCTCCCCGCCACTCCAAAGCCCAGGGGGTCCCTTACCGGCTCGTCCGGGGCGGCTCCGCTTCGCTCCGGCTCTGGATGCGGGTTCAGTGCCAGTGCGGGGGCGGGTGCGGGGGCGGGTGCGGTGCGCGGCGGTTCGGCCGCGATCGTGCTCGGCCCTACCTGTTGCTGCGGCCGCTCCCGCGGAGCCCCGGGCCGGGCGGTCCCACCGCGGCGGCACCGGGCGGTGCGGGGGCGGTGCAGGAGCAGAGGGGCGGTGCGGGGGGACGAGGGGAGGGGGACCTGTGGGCCAGGGCGATGGTACAGCCAGGCAGCACCCTCACGGGGCTGCAGAAGAGTGGCCGCGTGGAACACTTCTGTAACAGGGAATTAAGCGCTGCTAATGAGGTTTCAGCAATTTTCCGGAGGCTGCCGTCCAGACTGTCGGTCTGGAAGCTTGATCCACTGCTGTAAGGTAAGATCGCTCCTTCCCTCCCTGGCCGTGCCTCCAGACTGGACCTCCCTGCACCTATGTGGGCTCCCAACAGGTGGTCTCCTGTCCTCTCAGTGATGAGAGACCGGGAGCAGGTATCAAACAGTCCACGAACAGTGGGAGAAGGTGCTATGCCATCGCCTTGGAGCACATCTCCCATATTGACTCCAAACGGGTCAAATCATCTCAAACACCCACGTCTAGTGGAAAGTGTGCCTGCCCATGGCAGGGGGTTGGAAAGAGATGGTCTTTAAGGTCCCTCCCAACTCAAGACACTCTGGTTCAGCCATAATTGGGGGTGAGTCAACAAGCAAAGTGAGTTTATGCAATACGATTGGGGTGAGAACATTCAAACTGGGCTCATCCTGGAAGTGTGCTCCAAGCATGGCCTTCAGGAACAATCTCTGCTTAAACTGCCATAAGAGACCACCAGCCTGTAGCTATTTAATACATGATTTATTGAGCTGGGTTGAATACACTGCCAGACTGAGCCCCTTCCCCTTGCCAAGCCCCACTGCATCACTGGTGAAACTGCAGTTGTGCTGTGGTAGCCGCCAGTGTGGGATGAATAGCCCAGGCTGCCCAGTGTCTGATCCATCAGAAGAACGTGGGAGAACTGAAATCCTACCCTGACCAGTCCCAAGCATAACTTGCTACCGTGGGGCTCTTCTGGGTGACCAAAAATGTCTTCACTGTGCCTTGTTCTCCCCATGGCGGGCAACAGAAAATGTGAGTGAAAGGCCCTTTAAATGCAGAGATATCTGGGATTGACACACTCCTGTCCCCTCTCCTGTCCCTACCTGCTCAAGGGACCACAGAGCACAGATCACCTGGTCCCAGCAAGCTGCCCCTATCCACCCATGTGCACCAGGGGATGGGGACAGGCAGGTGACATTTAGCTGGTGCCTTGGCTCAGGCAGAGGGAGGGAGTTCAGCTACAAGCCGGAGCTCAGCATACACACGCAGGATCACATGTCAATGTGGGGCATGGCGGGTGGGCCTGTGCAGAGCTATGAAACCATAGATATATAAGCCAAGAGCTGCTCACACCTTTGGAAGTGCTGGGTCACAGCTCAGGACCATGTTGTTGTGTCTGAGGCAACCAGAGATACAGAGACAGCTGCCACAGGAGCAACTCCAAGCCTTCTCCAGAGCAATCCTTTGGGAACTGTGGCAGAGGGGCTGCCAGGGCTCAGAGCAGGAGCAGGGAGCGGTGATGGATATCCTGGTGGAGGAGTAGCTGGGGCTGGTGAGCTCCCAGCGCCCACCCTGAAGCTGAGAGCAGGTTGGAGCTGAGGGAAGGATCACCTTGCAGGAATAGCCCTGTGGCTCTGCATGGCCCAAGCTCTGGGCTAGTGCTGTGGGCTAATGTGGAAGCACCAAGACACAAGCTGGGGCTGAGCTTGGTCGCTCAGGTGACTGGGATGCACTGTCTAGGCAGCCCCTGCCCCCAGGGAGGGCACACTTTTCCTCCCACAGACCTGCAATGTACAGTCACAGAAGCACCCAAAGCACCTCGTCTCCAGCAGCCCCCATGGTCTCACAGGTGAACTGGGGTGGAGCTGCAGGTCCCAGCCAGAACCTGGTCTGGAGCAGCAGGAGCCCTGGCCTGTGCTTGAGGCCTCAGTAGTAAGCACCGAGGATGGTTGAGACCTTGTGTAGGAGCTCCTTGTGGTTGGCATGCAGGGGGATCCTCTTATCCAGCACCTGCCAGCGGATGCACAGCTCCGGGTCACAACCCTGAAGGAACTGGAAGGGGACAGACATCACGTATGTGCTGCTGGTGAGGGGCCATGCCAGCCACACCCAATAGCACTCCTAGTCCTCAACCTCCTGCCCTTTCTCTTTGGGGCACACATTGGGGTGACACCCCACGTTCATCCCTATGTTCTTCCCCCAGTCTGTGCAGCTGGAGGATCCCACTCCTGCTGAGGGCCAGGTCAGGGAGCCATGGGGGTGACAGTCCCATACCGAATTCAGCCGCTTCATCTCCACGTCGTTCTGGTTGTCAAAGTGGACACTGACAGCGACCGTCTCGACCCAGGCGTTGTCTGTATTGCGGGGGTCGTCGAGGTACCCCTTGTGTACCTGTGCTCGGTGACAGAGTTGCCACATCAGCAGAGCCCCCCCTCACATCTCTGAGGGCATCAGAGGCCCCTGGGGGTGGTGGGGTATTGCCCTGCAGTTCTTCTGCCCCACTGGAGACCAGCACCCCATTGCCACTGCAGCAGGCACAGACACTGGAGTGGGCAGCCCACCCTTGCGGTCTCTGGGCTGCTCCCAGACCCCCACACATGCATTACTGAATATCTCCACCTCCTCCAGCCATTCCTCCCTGGTGGGAGCAGTGGCCAAGAGGTGAGGCACCCTGCCCCTGTACCCTGGGGTCCCCATGTGGCCCTGTGACACCATGATGGCCCCACATCACGTCCCCTTGTGCATCTACTTCCAGGACACCTGTGTGCCGCTGCACAGGGGTGATGCCTGCATGTCCCCATCCCACTGGGACACTCACGTGACCCAGTATCACTGGGACACCTGTGTGCCCCCCACCTCAGTGCCTTGTTTCAGCAAGTTCTGGAACTGGGGCCAGAACTCCCGGCGGAGGATCCACTTGAGCTTCAGCGGCAGTGTCTCCCCCGGCTCCAGTGACCCCTGTGCCAAAGCAGATGTCAGCCATGTGGCCTGCCATCAGCACAGCCCAGCCTCCCTCCCTGTCACCAGGTTGGCCATCAGGCAGTTGTGAGCCACCACCGCAGAAGATGCCACAAGCTCTTGTGGTACCTCCCTTCCTCCCTCTCCTGCCTGAAGTCCTCAGCTCTGCCCAGGCAGATGTCTGAATGTGCCTGATGCAATGTCCGCCAAAGGATGCTTTGCCAATGGCTTAACTTGCTCACAATGAAGGACTTGTGAGAACTGAAGCCATGAAGGAGGAGGGAGAGGCTCAGGGTGTGTGGGTGTGTGTGAAGGGACCATTGCTCACCCAACACCCCTCGCATGCAGATGTTCTGCAGGAGAGTCAGAGGTACCTCCTCAGACAAGGCTGCAACATGTACCTGTGATTCCCCCTTTTCTGTGGTCCATCCATCCATCCATCCACCCATCCATCCATCCATCCATCCATCCATCCACCCATCCATCCACCCATCCATCCATCCATCCATCCATCCATCCATCCATCCATCCATCCATCCATCCATCCATCCATTCACCCATCCACTGCTCCCATC